CCCCATTAAAAGCAAATCTTATACTCCTGTTTCTTGTTTTCTGCTCCATAGCCACTTTCTTAAGCATGAAAGAACTTTATTTTTCACTAGTCCTGGTCATCACTGCCACAAACACTTACCACAAGTTTTTCTTAAAGACTTTCTGAAAGAGCTACTAAATCATTGCAGTTGCTTTCCTTCTGCCTGCTGCTATGTGAACTAACTTTCTTGCATAAAATTTTCTCGCATCAAAACTGTTCTTGTTTGCTTCTCTCCCAACATGCTCCTCCTTTGTGGAATGATGCTTTTGAGCAAGGCATGAGGTTACAGAAGCAAAATCAAGTGTTATCCCTCTTATTATCTCTAACAATGTCCCAGGCATCCTCTTTTTGCTGTTAGTGATGAATTCTCAGCTCTGCTGCTTCATGGTCTCTGCTTGGCCTGGTGCTAGGGACTGCGGCTATTCTGCATCGTGGTGAGCTATGGACAAACGCCTGCATCTGTGGAAAGTCTGGACATGAAAACATGTTCAAAAGGTCCATGACATATTGTCAGTGAGGATGCCAAAAAGGTGTTTGCACTAATGACATCCCCTTTGTGATTGTAGTGTGTTCTTTCCTCAATTTGGGGTTACAACCCAAAGGAATTTGAATCATGCTAGAAAAACTAGCATTAACCACCAGCAGCTCAGCTACTCCATGGCTGGGAAATGAGAAGAGCTTGTAATTGCCGGCTGCAAGTGTTTGCACTGGCCAAGGAACTGCAAATTGCCTTTAATTGCTCCTAATTGCTGGCACTGGTTCAGTTCCTCTGAGACAGGGACCACAAATATGCATGTACATCTGCAGACACTGTTTGAGCCAGTTCCTACCTCCCCACTCTAGAAGAGTTTAGTTGCTGCCGATTTGAATGGTTTGTTGGAAGACAGAAAAGCGAAAATGGGGTCACGTGTTTGAGGATGGTGCAGTCGTCCTGGACGTTCAGGGTCCTGAGTGTTTCAGCAGTGTGACCCGTGTTGCTAACAAGAGTTTGGAACAGGTTATACAAAGCACATCCTTAAACCCACAGAGGATTTGCCCTGCAGCACCTCAGAGGGAGCTCTCAGCTGTCAGACAGGGGGTCTCTCCCATAGAGCATTGGCACTGCCCTGGCATCAGGGACAGGTGATTTCCAGCTCTGCTACTGATTGCTCTGCAACCTTAGACATGTCACATGTGCCTGCAGGGACGCCGTTAACATCCTCTCTGCAAAGCACTAGCGAATGTCCGGCTCCCGATGGGGAGAGAGTAGACAACCTCAGACAGACACGGCTGTGAAAATAGTGACGGCAGCTTTGGACAAGTTATGCCGAGGCATTACCTCATGAGGGAAGGAAGCAGCATTTCCATTTATTTATGTGGTGTCCAAAAGAGAGCTCAGCACTCTGCAGACCCGCGCCTGTCCTCCAAGAGCCTGATTCTGCAAATCTTACTCATCGCAAAGGCTTTTTTTCTTTCTTTTTTTTTTTTTTCCTCCCCTCTCTCTTCAGCATGGTCCCGCTGAAATCAGTGGAATCCATTCGCCTGGGTGAGGATTACTCACAGGATGGGGGTTTGCAAGCGATGCCTGAAAGCAGCACACATGGCCCCAGAGGGGAACAGCGTGTAACATGAGGCATGTTCCTCTCCGCTCCTCTTGCCCTTTGCCTCCTCTTGTGTAACCCTTCCCTGCCTCGCTCGCATTCATTGTAACTCCTGCCTTTCTGCTCCCGGTCCTGTCTGCTGGTCTCTCCTCTTAAGCTGTTTTTCTTCCTGCTCCTTTTAGCCTTTTCCCAGCTCTTCCTCACTGCACCTTGATTTCCTCTTCCGCCACAGTTTTGGAGCAATATCTCTTGTGGCTGCAGTTTGCTGGGTTTCCTACCTAAAAGCACACTTCTTGTTCTCTGTGCTCATCACAAACCACACTGATTTAATCTTAAAAAGTCTTAATTCTTAAAAAGTCTTAATCTTAAATCTGCTAAAAAGTTTCCAGTGCAAACTAGGTTTGATAGAAAATCAGATTTTCCACTATACCCAGGTTTTCAAGCAGCTGAGACAGCTCTGAGGCATAGGTGGGAGAGCAGGACTTTTAATCAAAAACCCCAAATCAGAAGTGTTAAGGGAGGAGAAGAGCGGCAAAGCTTTCCCTCTCCCCAACCCCTTCACCCGCCCTATATGAAAAATGATCATTTTTTTGGCAAGATTCTATTTCTTCCCGTATAGCTCTACTGGCCCGGGTAATTTGTTCCTGCTCTCGCCTCTCCCATCTCACCTTGCCACTGGGCTGCCCTCCGGATGCAACACCCCATCCGTGGAGAAGGGGATGAGTATTCGCATCATGATAGTGCAGGGGGATTTCCCTGCACAGTTTAAACCTGCTGCGCTGGACCAGCCTAGGAGGTGCTGCCTGCTAACCCACAGCGGGCAGAGGAGATTGACCTGGGAGATACTGGTAAAGTCAGCAGGAGCAGACCGGTGACAGTGAGTGGGATGGAAGGATGGCTTTGTGTTGGCGTATGAGGACTGTAACCAGGAATAACTGCAGGAATTTGCCAGGACTTCTGGACTCTGACGTTATTGTTGTTGCCTGGAGGCCAGGGCCGCTTTCCGGCCCTCCGGCACTGCCGTGCAGTGCAGTCAGAGCCCAAGGCTGGAGTTGCAGGACAGGCAGACAAAGGTTGTGATGGGGTCAAGGCTCGGAGAAGGATGCTCCGGCTGATTGTTGGGATGAGCCATGTGCTCTGGGAGTGAGCGGCCCTGGGATGATCTCCCGAGGCCACATCTGCACAAGGCAGCAGTGTGCAGGTTCCCAGGGATGGTGTGGCCACGCTCTCCTGCCTGCAAATCTCTTCACTTGCAAATTTTTTCCCACTACTCACCCTTCAGGATGGTTGGAAACACCAACCACAAACACCCTGGCACACAACAGCAGGCTTTCAATCGAGTCACGTGCCTTCCTGGGGAGAAGGGAGAGCCTTGCACAGTGGGCGCTGGCAGGGGCTAGCACAAGCCTGTGGCCAGCCAGGCCCCAGGGCCTGACATGGCACCTCAACACGCGCACGCGGGGATGCCCAGAGGGACGTATTCACGTTCCAGTGAGAAACCTGCTCCCCTTCCCTCTGTCTCACCATGTCACCCACTGCTCTGCTCCCAGGCCCCTCGCTCAGGCTAAGCTCCCAACGTTGCCAAGGCAGGCAGGATTTTGCTCCCTGAGGACCTGAAACAGCCCCTGTTGAGCCAGCCAGGCAGGTCATTATGGGGTAATGGATTTCAGCTTCCATCCTGGGTGCTGCCAGCTGCCGCTGCAATGCGCTGGGCTCCAATGGGACAGCCCTCTAGCACTCTCACTCAGTAGCAGAGATGTGTTCAGAGATGTGTCAAAGAGGTGTGTTCCTGGCTTCCTAGGGCATTTTGATAAGTGGTGGTATGTGCTCCTTGTCCAGTTGGCCAGGGAAATACTAAAAGACAGTGACCAACATCTGATCTTCAGCACTAGGCACAAAGGAACCATGGATACAAGGTGATGATCTCAAACAGGACGGGCGCAATGTGCAGACCCAGAGCAAGCATCTCAGGAGCGTGCAAACCCTCAGCATCAAACCTCATGGGAGTGACATGCTTCCACAGGGGGATTTTGGGGTGTCTGAAAGCCATGCCCAGCAGCTGGAGCCCCTGGAGGCCCTCAGGCAGGTTCCCTGCCCACAGACCAGCCCCCTTCCAGGCCTATTCGGTCTTCAGCAAGGAAGGGGGGCAAGTTTGCCTCCAAATCCTCTTTTTGGCAGCCAGCATCCATGAGGGATTCAGGGAGAGAGGGATCAGTGCTCCCCAGACAGGGTTTTGTCTGGATCTGTCCTGAGGATGCTGCAGAAGAAAAGGAAAGCTTTCTTGCCTTTCCCTGCCACAGCTCAGCAGGGGCAGACCACAGTCTGGCACAGAGCTCACAGCTCTTAGAAATCAGGGCTGTTAACAAATGTGCAAGGCCGTAATCCTTTTGGAGCAGTGATGATAACAGGCTCTGATGCTTTTTTTTTTTTTTTTTTAACAAACAGCGGCGCCGGTAAGTCCCACTGTGGGAAATGAGATGGTGAATGATTTCAAGTGCAGTATTTACATCCCCTGCCAAACCCTTCACATCTGCCCAGCTCTGCAGTCAAGCCTCCATCCATCTGGCTGGGAACAGCAGGTCCTCCAAGCTGCGTGCAACCCACAAGGGCATTTCCTTCCTGCGCCCGCACCACCAGCTGCCAGGGATGCTGCTCAGCAGGGAAAGGGCTCAAGCAACAGCGCTGAAAGGAGGTTTTTCATATTGGACGTGAAATGAATTCAGAACATCCCTGAAAGCAATTGCTTCCTGCCTGAGAACTCTTGCACTGAAACACTCCTTGATTCTGCACCTCTTCCTTACGTCCCCAACACCGGTCTGGAGAGCGTATTGGGGGGGGGAAGGGGGGTCACAGCTGGCCAGGAGCAGGGGCAGCTGGCAATGCGACTCCATGAGTCCTGCCACTTTGCCGCCTTGCTTGCTACCCTCGCTGCTGAAGTCCTGTAACCTTTTTCCCATTACTTTCGGGATGCTGCCATTGCAGCAGCCACAGGTGGGTGTCCTCAGAGCACAGCCCCAGATGCCCCACATTGCATCCCCAGCTCAGATAGGCAGGTATGGGCCACCAGAGCAAGGAGTATTGCCCAAGAAATATATCCCCACTCCCACTACTATCTCCACAGTGGGATCGACTGCAGCTGGGCCACCCCCATCACCTTTCCACCTAAACAGTTGTTTGAACCCCCCTCTGCCAAATGTCACCTTTGTTTCAGGTGAGTGCGACTGCTGGCTGGAGGACCCATTCTTGGAGAAGGTGGAGCCAGAGCTGCTGGAGCTGCCGCCTTGCTCTTGGCTTCAGCCCAGCGCAGCTCGCCCTCCCTGCTGCGAGCTGCCGCCGCTGCGTCTTTGGGTTTCGCGCTTGCCTCCCCCGTTGACACTCTTGTTGTGTGTTCCCCCCACAGAATGCGATTGCCACCCCGTGGGCGCCGCGGGCCAAACCTGTAACCAAACCACGGGCCAGTGTCCCTGTAAAGACGGTGTGACGGGCATCACGTGCAATCGATGTGCCAAAGGCTACCAGCAAAGCCGATCGCCCATTGCTCCCTGCATAAGTACGTGGACCGCTCTTTCGATGTCTGCAGCATAGTAGAATTAAGCTTTAACACAACCCGCAGGAGAAACGCACAACACTCTGCTGGGCTGACTGACCACTAACCCCAGGCTGTGTATGTGCCAAGGGCTAGTGCGCAGGGGAAGGAGCTGTCTGGGAATCCCAGCCAGCCGCACTGGCAGGAATGGGAGGACATATGTCCAAAATACACCCCTAGCTTCCATGTAGCTCATTTGTCATGTTGGGTAGGTTGTGTGAGTGCATCTACAGCTGAATTTGCTGGTAGCCCTCAAGAAATCTGTGCTTTCACTTTGCACACCCCAGAGATGCCTGGAGAGTGCATTTGCTTTGTGCTACTGTATCAGGTCTGGATCCTGCAGCAAATCACTACAAATAGATTTTTCTTTCCAAAATCAGACTATGCGGCAATCTGAGCTCAAAGCATAGCTCAAATCTGAGAAGCTACTGGTTTGATTGAGCTGCCATCGTAATAACGCAGCCGATAGCACCTAGGCTGCTAACTGGCGTCTTACACTCACACAATCCAGCCAGAAGCATGAGCTGCTTTGCTGTTTGGTTCCTTTGTTTGAATTGTAGTTTGCCTTCTCAAGGTTGCTTTTACCATCTGCTCTTAAAACAACAGCAACAAGCAGCAGGCACAGCTCCCAAAGTCTCTCTACTGACATATTTTCCTCTGCAAAGCTCCACATCCCCATTTGATCCCTTTCAAACCCACCCGGGGCTACAGCGGCATCCCAGCCTGATAAGCATTTGATGCCTGGGCAGAACACGCTTTAGCTGAGCGCTGCTCTCCACCACCTCTTGCTTTTGCTGTTGTTGGCTCATTTAGGGGCTCACACGCATTGCACTAGACCTCTCCACCTTCCTCACCAAAACGATGCGTCAAAATTACGATGCACAAGGCAGGCTGGGAAGCGAGAGCTGTTCCCCGCCAGGCTGCCTCGGTGCTATAAAGAGGGGAAAAAAGGCCCAACAGGAAAAGAAAGGTGAAGGTTGAAAGAATCAAGTCTTTGCCAGAAACGCAAGATCTCTTCCAGCACTGTCCACCCCCAGTGTCTGCCTTGCAGGACAGCCGTTGCCAAATTATGGAGTAGATAGCCTTTCTCCACCTTCTCTTACTGAAGCAAACATACATTCCATGGTGGTTTTTGGTCACTTGAGATTCATTCTTCCCCATGTCGCAATGGGACGGCAAGAGCTCAAACCAGATGCTTGTTTCCCCAAGATGCTACAGTCATGGCTCCGGTATGCTTTGCAGCAAGTATGCACAAAGGTTTATCATTAATGGTTCCCCAGGGCCATGGTAAATCAGAGGGTAAATTGTTCCTTGCATCACCTCCCTTGGGATTCATTGCACTAAATAAAGACAGACATAGGATTTCAACATGATCAAACCAGGCATTCGGAGTGGGGCTATGCTCATGCCAGCTGCCAAAGCAGCAGGCTCGAAGCCACGCACTGGCGTGAGAGCCTGGCGGCGCTGCCCTGCAAAGGGAGGAGGTCGCGATCCAGCCGCCTGCCCAGCACCCACGTGAGATGCTACTGTCCCACAGCTCTCAGCCCTTGCACCCCTGCTCCTATAGGAATCTTTTTTCCTGTTATTTGGTTTAATTCTTTGTCATTGTAAAATTTCCTTTTCAAGAAGCCAAAACTTTTGATAGAAATATGTTTCAAAGAACTTTAATGCTCTGGCCTGGCTATAAAGTCACTCTACAGTTTTAGGGAGTTTGATGCTGACTATATGAGGCCAAAGCAGTTAAAATGAGGATATGGGCACTCATAATTCTCTCATCTTAAAAAAAAAAATCACATTTTCATCCTTGAAAAATGTCAGTCAGCATATCCTCTGTGGGTGAGTGTGTATTTAACACACACACACACACACACATATATGTTATACCTGCATAGCAGAGGGCACTTGCTTTCCACCTCTGTCCCCACTGCTATCACCCCTGGGACTAGGAGAGTGCCGATACAACATACACAGCAAGAGTCCATCCCCCTTCTCAGCAAGAGCACAGTTACTCTCTGATTTACCATTGCTTATGTTTTCCCTGTCCCAGAGACTTATTGCTACCTAAAAAAATCACCTTGTAAGGAATGAGCAAGACCACATGTCAGGTCTGCCTGCACCACAGCCCACACCAGCAGGCATGAACACCTGTTAAGCCACCAGCTTTGGCACAGCTGACTGGGCTGGGCTGGACTTGATCAGCTACCACCAAATTACCGACCAGGCATCTCACACCCATATAAGTCGCAGTCACTGCAACGCAGATAGACGAAAGCATGCCATATTTCTGTGGCCAGGTGAGTTCCCAAGAGAGCCACGTGAGCACAGAAGGAGGCAGACATTGACTGCTGGCTGCTCCAAGTCTCTCGTGGCTGAATTTCACTTTCAAAGTCAGACAAGAGATCTTGACTGGTAGGCCGTTCCCCCAGCCAATTTCCAACGGATACACAGAAATCGCAGTACTGGTCCCTAAATATGCAAAATACATCATTAATGAGAGCTGCGTATGGGCACTGGGGGAAAATAGATCCTCTTGTTGAAGATAGGACCATATAGTTCTCCATCTGCAGCCCATCCTTTTGACATCAACAAGCACAGTCAGTCTTGGGCATGAAGATCCAGAATATTAGGCAGTTTCAGCTCTGTTTGCAAAGCCCACCCAAAATCAAAACCAGGGGCCATTGCATTGGCAGCAGATATTTGCATGTCCCTTAAATGTGGGAGATAACATTTCTATCCCAGAGAATAGATGCAATACTTTCCTTGTATCCTATCTCACACAAAAGGAGTGGGGTATAGATAGCACTTCCTCAGACATGAATGGAAACACCAGCTGGAAGGGAGGGACACCCTGGGATAGCATGGGACAGCAATGTTCCCTTTTCCTGTTTCCCACTGTGACTGGACATTTCACAGCCATCAGTTGTTCTGCACTGCCTGGCTTGTGCACCCTCCAAGTCCCTGCAAAGAGCACACCATCACAGTGATATATAAACTAAACTATTTGATTTAGCAATTGCAGTGGGTTGTGAGTGTGCACCACAGCATTTGCTGGCTCTGCCACCACATCAGTTAGCTGGCTAGCTGTATCATAGTAGCTGGAGAAATCTGGAACCACCTAGCCACATTCCTGTTATTTTTAGCCATAAGCCACAATTTTTGGTATAAAATATCCTTCTCCATACCCACTTGGGAGACACAGTTCTCCAGCATATGTGTGGTGTGGAAGTTTGTGAGGTCTTGTGAGGTTTTGTGAGGAACTGGGGTTCTTGCAAGATTACAATCACACCTTGATTGTAGATGTGGTTGGGAAGGGCAAATGTGGTATGTACAGGGCCCAGGCTCTTGGAATCTGGAATAACACCTCCTCCTTTTATATTCTCTCCTTTCCTGTCTGCTTTGCCCCTTCCTGCAGAGATCCCTGCCGCTCCTCCCACCACCGCAGCCAGCAGCACAGAAGAACCTGCAGGTACGCTGTCTCTTCTTTTAAAGCCTTTTCAGAGTACCTTGATGGTAAATGTCTTGAGTGATTGTCTTTTGCAATGAAAGATACATTAAATTAATATACATACTCTGTTGCCTCTACTGGGATAAGTGAATACCTTTTACTTCCAAAATGTCCAAGTTTTTGAAACAAGTGTACAACATCCAGAGAGATAAGTGTTTCTAGGAGCAAGTGGGAGTGTGGAGAAGATGCAGAAAGATTTTCCCATAGGTGGATAAATCTATAAGCACTCAGAAGTTACCCGAAGTTGGATTGACACTTGATGAGAAAGAGGTAAGGACTGAAGACCAGCCTCCGTGTTCACAGCACATTTCCGCTGGTACCAGGCATGCTGTTGTTTCTGGCAACCGGCAGCGGCCAGGCCGGTTGTTCTGCAGCAGCAGGAGCAATAGTTTGTTCCAGCCCAGTCTGGAGGGCAGGAGATGGCGTGGGGGAAGCCTGTTAGCCTGTTCAGCTTGTGAGTCCTGGTTAGTATATGAAATCACAGCGTGATAAACTGTGTTCAGGTATAGAAAATCAGATGTAAATTGACGGGGCTTGTCATATACGTCTGGCTCAAGGGCAGTGGTTGGTTATCAAACTTTAATGTGTTCCTTCTCAGGCAGAAGTGACCTAAGAGAGTAAGAGACTAGGTCAGCTGAATTTTTTTTTTTTTTGGGGGGGGG